TCCCCACAAATTTGACATGGAACGGTGTCAAATCTACTAGTTTCGAATAATGTTGTCTAACCACTCAACATTACAATCTAATAATACTTTCTTCAATAAATGAAATATCATAATTTTAAATCTTGTAAATAACTAGTCAGCGAAACTAAAATTTGATTCCACCTTTAGTGTAAATATATTTGTTAGTGGGGTCCCCATATATATGACATGGTACCACTAGCTGTGTATAGTGTCTGTCTCGAAGCTTTCCATAGAAAAGCCTTCACATTATGTGTATCTTGTTTTCCTTACCCTTTCTACTTTTAATTTATTTCTGCAGATTACCCACTCAGCATATATTTTAAAACAATTTCTTTTTGTAATCCTATATTCGATAAGGTTGTTTACACGTTTAAAACGCAATTATTCATGGTCGGTCACATCCTCTGATTTAACTAACTCATAGTTTAGTAATATATATATATATATTAAAAAGAGAAATGCTAAACCCTAGAATTTCTTAAAAGTTAGAAGCGAAACTTTTCATATATTCTCTACTACCTTATGTTTTTTGTATGATATTAAATTGTAAGATAACAGAGAATTCATGAAGAGTCATGCTTTTAGAAAATCTCATTAGTATTTCTCTATTAAAAAATGTCCCCAATTCATTTGTCGATAATGAAAGACTAATTCACATGGTGCCGGCTGTTAAATTGAGTTTTGTTTCTAGACATTCAACTTTATATATTCATAAGTACATTACATAAATTATATACACCACACCAACGTAACTACAAATAGATGGTGTCAAATTAAGGAAAGAGATCCACTCTGGATATTTCGGAAACAAAGGACCAGAAAATCTGAACCACTCAAATTGATTCTGACGGTCTTCATTAATTTATTACGTTGGTCTATCTCACACAAACTAAGAGCTTCATTTTCTCTTTCACACAAACTAAGGACCCAAATGATTTAATTCTTAGGCTGCAGACACTAAATTCCAAAAAGAATTCGAATTCTTAAATTAAGACTTATCTTTCGGTCATTGAATTGATCCATTCTTATAGATTAGCATAGAGAAACAATTATAATTTAAGGATAATTTCTTAATTATTACAGAATTAGTCCACAAACACAACGGGCAGCGGTGGAAATTTTGTTTTATTTTTAGTTTAATATTAATGCGTTCCCCCGTGCTCTGGGGCATACGTGGCCATGCACTTAGAACATTGTTTTTTACAAATTTAAACCCACGCGTCAAGAAGAAAAATGAAAATTTGAAATAGGGCAACAGATTTTGAGTTTCCACCATGCTTTTTTTTTTTTTTTGTTAAAATGGTTTTTAAGATTTGTATAACACATAAATTTGGTCATTGAGATTTAAAATTAATAGAAGTGGTCAATGAGATTGTCCACTATTCACTATTTTGGTATTTCCGTTAAAATACTCCTTTAAGTTGAGGGTATAACACATAACTTTGGTTATTGAGATTTGCAAAACACATAATTTTGGTCCTTGAGATTTGCATAACACGTAACTTTGGCGCATAAGATTGTCTATCATCTATCATTTTGGTCCTTCCATTAAAAAGCTCAGGGACTACTGATAGGAGCATATTTATGCGACTGAGTTAGCTTGTTCTCATGCATTTATGTTGTTATTTCTTAGTTAATTATGTATTTTAAGCTATTTTCGTGTGTTTGTAGGTCTATAGGCCTTATGAAGCAATAAGATGCATTTTGGTGCATTTTGGAGCAGTTTTGGGCTTTGAATGAATAGCATATGCATGGAGCAAGGTGGATGGACGAAATTGAAGAATAAAGAGGCTAGGAATGTGTTAAAGAGAAAGAAGAATTAATGTAAAAAGGACAAAGAGCTTAGCCACAAAGGGGTGTCACTCCACCATTCACCTTTCCATCATTGCCGTGCACCACCATTGCACTCCCTTTGGATTCCTATGCCGTGCATCATCATCCATGTTCCCTCCATTGACTCATTTGTTGCATCATTCCACCTCCCTTTCCTTTCTCTACCATGTGCACAATCATTCATGTTCCCTAGCTGCAACACCACTCCATTTTACCCCCATGCTTTGCATCATCACTTCACTTTCACCTTTGAATCATTTCAAACACCACTCATTGCACTCAATTGCTACACCATTCCTTGTTCCCTCCATCATTTCAAATTCATGCATCATTACATTGAATCATTGCACTCAATTGCAACACCACTCCATGTTCCCCTCCATTGCCATGCACTTCCTCTATAAAAGGAAGTGTGTGTAACATAAATTTAGTTCATACTTGGTTAGATCATTCACTCCCATTTCAACACAACCTTCATCTAAACACATCCATTTATCTTCACATCCATTCCTCCATACAAACAAACCTTCAAACACTCACCAACACCTTGTGCTGTAGCAAAGGAAGGGAAGGAAAGTGCTTGGACGTGCTTGCTGTCCAACTTGGATCGTTGGAGCGTTTAGGTGTTTTCTTTCTTTTTGTTTTTAATGTTTAAATTCATTTCCTTTCGTTTTGTTGTAAATATGAGTGGCTAAACCCCTTTTGGCTAGGGGTGATTTCAAAGCCATGATTATGTGTGCAATATAATTTGATAAATTCCAGTTATGAACTCTTGAATCGTGAATGCAATTGGCTTAACTATTTGATTGATAACTTATTTGTATTTGTTAATTAAGGGTCGACACTTAATTGGCATGCATAAATCCGTTGCTAGAATATAAGGAAGTTTCACATAATCGTTACAAACTTATATTCACATGTAGTGAAGGTCGCTTATAAACGATCGCGTTAAGTTCAATTCCTAGCATGAGTGACATGATGTCATAGTTGCAAGTGCTTTGTCAATGTTTATGATTTTCATTAAACGTAATGATCTTTGATAGTATCTCTATTATGATGTCATGTAGGGAACTTTTGAAGAATGTTTTGGGTTGTCGAATGATGTCATCCAATCCAATAAAACAAGGAAAATCTGAGAGTTAACTAGTGATGTCATGGTTAATTTGGGGCATTATCATTCATAATTCAATGAAGTAATAATTGGAAATTAAGTTATTTGCATACATGTCATGTGTGGAGAAAAAGCCTCTAGCTATCCCATCCATCATCTTATTTCTCACATTCGTTTTACAATCTGTCTAGTTTTTCATACTTGTTTGTTTGTTTCAACTTCATCCAAAACAAAACCCCCCTTTTAGTTTCTTGTTTCAAAGTGTTTCAAATCTGTTTTAGTTTGTGTTTTTAAGTGTTTTGATTCAAGTAAAAGTCAATTTTCGTCCAAAGTCATTCCTAGTGTCTAGTTTAAGTTTATTTGGTCGTTTTAAGCTGTTTTGAGTATTTTAAGTTTGCTTTGAGTCTTGTGAGTCTTGTTAAGTGTTTTTAAGTTTAGTTTTATGTTTTTGAGTCAGTTTAGAGGTTATTAGCAAGCCCTCCTAATCCCCGGTCCAGAACGATCCCTACTTATACTTGTACTACAATTGTCAAAAGAGGGTTAAATTTGTGTGTTAAGATAATTTTCGCATCAACCACTTAACGGAGTTTTTTAATGGAATGACCAAAATTATGGATGATGAATAATCTTAGGAATCACTACTATTGATTTTAAATCTCAGGGACCAAAGTTATGTGTTATGCAAATTTTAAAGATCATTTTGGCTAAAAAGCCTTTCCACTAATAGGCCCCAACAATAACACGATTGTTTTCAATCATCTCCAATTTGTGGTGTCAAAAATAAAATGTAAAGTTTATGCAATGTGTGGATGGGAGAGAGATGAACAACACATCTAAAAAATCGAGACTGTAAACTCCCTTGTATCCAAATTCGAACCGCACTCGTACTTTATATTAGACTAAAATTTCCCGCATCTTAAGAATAAAAGACCATGTAATATCAAAGACAAGTAGAAGATCAAAATTGAGGACTATACAAAGAACTGTTTTCAAAGTGGATTTCATAATTTTGATGGAATTAGGATAATTTTGGATATGTATAAATATCACTTGCAAATCACACATATCGAGTAAATTATAATGCTTATATGCCTTATAGAAATCGAATTTAATAACGATCCACATTGTTTATTTTATCATTAGACCACCCCTCTTAAACGTAAAATTTGATTACCAAGAGCAGATGAATTGTACGTCAAGCGGGTTCCCAACATTTACCTTTACACATGAAGTTTTGTATTGGATTTTTCTCCCCAGCATCACTTGTATCAAAATAGTTAATTACTTAACCCTAAAAATTTATTTGAGAAATGTTGAGGAAACTCTTTCAAAAGTGAGACTCTCTATAGATTATTTATCACCTCATGCTTTTGGCACAATTCATGTGCCAACATTATAAAACACTAGCATTTGCCTACACACTTTGTGTGTATAAACACAGTTTTTTAGAAAATGAGGAGAGAGGGAGAGAGAGAACGTGGGGGGAGTGTGAGGTTTTTGTTTTTGGTTTTTTTTTATTTTTTTATTTTTTAAAAATATTGGAGGTAGTTTAACATCACCTGTAGGTGAGGCTTTAATAAAAAACAGTAAAATTTGGACCTGTGAAATTACATTATTGCCCATCATTGTTTTTTTTGTGTGATAGAAGACTAAGTTGTCTTTTCACCATCTTTTGGTTGATAAAGAGGGTTTCATTAATTAGTAGAGATTATGCCAAACATATGAGGTGGAAGAGAGTTTATGGAGGGTCTCATTTTGAGAGTCTCTTTAACATTTCTCTGTTTTGTAATATTGACATGAAAATTAATGTTAAAGAGTAAGGCGGCAAAAAGTCCATGGAGAATCCCTCAGCATTTCCTAGTATATTATAATTCTCTTTGTTACACAATCCTGGAAAGGTCAAATGTGCACTTTCACTAAATTCCGAGGGCCCTATAGCAAAGAAGCAGACAAAGATATCGAAGCTCTCTAAATAAAGACATAATTAGTTATTTAAATACAAATAAAAACCCCAAACTGCAGGTTATTTATGCAACAGGAGGCAGCAGTAGCAGCAAGTGTAAAAATAGGCAAAGACATCAAAGCTAAGGTGCTCCAAGATTCTCGAGAAACAACGGCTATTTAGCAGAGAGAGCGAGAGATCCCCCGCCTAAAGTTAGCAGCAAAAGAAGCCACAAGCTATTAAAACATAAGCCACCTGCAGAAGTCTCTTGTTTCATTTGTATTATTGAGAGATTGAACTAAACTATGGCCCTTAGAGTTTCCTTCTCCTTCCTTGTGATAGCTTTGCTGCTCGTCTTCGGCCCTTCGGCTTCTGTCCAAGATGGTACGAAATCTCTCTCCCTCTAACATATCCATATCTAACCAGTTCTTGAGCGTTTAGATTTTGTTTTCTGATATAGAACCGTGCTTTTCTTTCCCCTATTTGTTTCCTTGAATGTGATCTACCTCTCTTTCTCAGCAACTTTCGTGCGTGAGATTTGAACTCATAACCTACTTCGACTGTCATTATTTTTTCAGCTTTTACAAGTGACGGAACAAAAGAGCCGGTTCTGTTTCTTTTAAGATGCATGCTTAATATTCTTGCCATTTTCTTTCCAAGGATTTTAGTTTTCTGCATAAATATTTTGCCACAACATACTTTATTAGTTTCTCCCACTTTTCATTTTGTTTTTGGCAAACTTGTAAAAGATGCTAGGTGCTAGTCCAGAAACATGCTAGGGCTTAACACTTAGGCACTTAGGCGCCTAGGTGAGCTAAGCGGATTAAGTGGATTGAAGTAAATTTATTATATATCTTTAGTACTTTGACAAATTTGATTGTATGAGATAAAAGTTCAAATGATTGCAAGTCTAGAGTATTTTACGAAATATTTTCTTAGAAATCATATGAATTTATAGTGAAATTAGAGGGAAATAAAAGTGTACGTGGGGTAGAAAGCATTTGGTGAAGTGGAATACTGGGACGCATGGAAGGGAGGTGGGAAACACTAATACTTAATACACGTTCAACCATGTTTATTAAAAGGGAGCTTTTATTAAAGGGGCTTTTAGATCTAGGTAAAAAAACATAGAGAGTTTTTAGGAGTGAGTCCAGTTAATAAATTATATGTTTTTATTTCTTTTATACTCATTTTATATTTTCTAAAAATATTAAAAATCAATTAAAATCTTTTAATTATGCATTTTTCAACTCCAAAATATCTAATTAATATCTTATAACAAAAAAATTAATATACTAACGTAAATCTATCTGCAAAGCATTATACCCTAACTCAAGTAGCAAATATATGAACGTATATTATACCTATAAGTGAGATATGAAACTTAACTAAAAGGTAGAAAAAACATAATATACCTACAAGCAAGACACATTAATCTGTGACAGGTTGACTATGAAAAAGAATTTGTCATATAGATAGATAAATACAATTAACCTGTGATATAGGTTGATTATAAAAATTAAAATAAAATCTATAAATGGGTTAAAGCACGAGGAAGAACAAGAAATAACAAATAATTAAATAAAAATAAATAATCAAAGAGATAATTAGGAAGAAATTTGATTTTTACAATAAATTTTTTCATTTAAGAGATAATTATTGATAATAAAATAAATAAATTTAAAGAATTGGACCTATTCTAATAAATTGGACTATTCCTACTATTGGCTCAAAACATTGGAGTTATATCAAGTTTCCCCTTTATTATAAAATGCTAGCTGTCCCAACTCGTTTGGACAATGATTTTATAAAATATTAAATAAAATGATTATTTAGATATAAACTCTTACGACTTTTATTTTTTAGACAAAAACTCACCTAGTTATAAACTTTCAAATAAAACCTAAATTTGAAAATGACTAACATATGAATTTATAGTGAAATTAGAGAGAAATAAAAGTGTATGTGGGGTAGAAAGCATTTGGTGAAGTGGAATACTGGGACGCAGAGAAGGGAGGTGGGGCACACTAATACTTAATACACGTTCAACCATGTTTATTAAAAGGGAGCTTTTATTAAAATGCTAGCCGTCCCAACTTGTTTGGACAATAATTTTATAAAATATTAAATCAAATGATTATTTAGATATAGACTCTTACAATTTTTATTTTTTAGACAAAACCTCACCTAGTTATAAACTTTCAAATAAAACCCAAATTTGAAAATGCCTATCAAGTAGAAAAATAATTGACCTATTATTACAAGATATTTACAACTTGTGCCACAATATTCAAAATAAATCAATAAATGTAATTACTCACCTTAATTACAATGAAGAAATAGTTATTACACATATTATTACCCCTAACATACATACATACATACATATATATACAAATCCTTTAAGAAGAGGGATCCCCATTTTTCAGAAAAAATAGGGACGCCCTCTTGACCGTTGGATTGGTTTTAATGAAATTATATGGTTGAGATTAAATCACAGGCCACACAATCTCAACCACACAATTTCATTAAAGTCAAATCCAACGGTTAAGAGAGTGTTCCTATTTTTTAAAAAAAAATGGGAATCCCTCTTGTTAAAGGATTCCTATATAGATATATACACGTCAAAGACAAACACACACACACACACACACACACACACACATATATATATGTATATATGCACATTACTACATATATGTTCAAACATATTATACTAATTAATCTACCTATATGTAAATTTATGATGAGCAACTAACATATATTTTGTAGGTGAATTAATGTTGAATCAAATAACATTCTTTTATTTAATTAGTAGGTAATATATTTTCCATGTATTATTACATATATTTGGCACATTTTATTACTATAAGATATATGTACAAATAATAGGTAAATTAATTTTAAATAAAATAAAATAGCTTTATTTTGTAAGTAAATTAATTTTGAATCAAATAACATTCTTCATTATGTAGGTATTTTATTTTGTATGTATCATATATTGGGCACATTTTATTATTATATGTACAAATAATAGGTAAACTAGTATTGAATAATTATTTTTTTTATGTTGGTGCATTATTTTGCATCTATTGGGTTTGCTTTATTATGTAGGTAAATTATTTTGCATGTACTTTACATTTATTGGGTAAATTATTTTGCTTTTTTTAAGCATCTAACATTTTAAAATTTGAATAGTAGGTGCACTAAATCAAATAACTTTTTTTTTTTGTAGGTAAATTATTTCGAATGAATTTTTACGATATCAAGCATTTTTTTGGTTATATGCGTGTGTGTGTGTGAAATAATTTACCTACATTTATTTGTAAAATATAATTTGAGCATGTATTATTACATATATTAGGTATGTTTTATTGTTATTATATATTTATTAGGCAATAAATTTTTTTTTTTTTGTAAAATCATTAAATCTTCCTTACAACCGTATAGAATTAATTATGTCAATCAAACATTCAAATAGGAGTATTTTAGGCATTTTTTTTTTAAATGTGTAAAGTCTAATATAATTAATGAATTTGCTGATGTGGAATCTAGTCAATGGGTTTTATTAGAGTAAAAAACTTATGTTGGGTTTTATGTGGAGAAAATTAAGTTTTAGGGGTTAAAGTCATATTTTCAATAAATAAAAAGGGTGAGTGTGGTCACTAGGTGGGAATGGAAGAGAGAGAAACTCATTTTCTCTTAATCATCTCTTCTTAAATGTCTAGACTGCTTAGGGCACCCAGTCCTCATCTAGGTCGTTTTGGGGCCCACTTAATTCTTTTTACGATTTTTCTTTCGACTATGGGTTAATCCCGACAGTTGGCCACCGTATAATGCATAGATTGACTTTTAAAACCCTGATTTTTGAATGTACTTATCTATATATGTTACATAGTTATGATTTTTAGGAATGCAAAATTTTGTTTGTTATATGCATTGCCATCAAAATCAGAAAAAGAATCTCTTTTAAACATAGAAAACCAACAACGTTACTCACACTCTCTAATACAAATGAGTCTTATCCCACATGCAATGATAGGGCTGACCTCTATTAAAGGGTGTTATTAGCTGTGACATCCCACATCGCCCAGTGGATCCTGTAAGCCTTATATGTACATTCTCATCTCTACCTAGCACGAGGCCTTTTGGGAGCTCACTGGCTTCGGGTTCCGTAGGAACTCCGAAGTTAAGTGAGTTCACGCGAGATTAATCCCATGATGGGTGACCCACTGGGAAGTTCTCGTGTGAATTCCCAGAAACAAAACCGTGAGGGCGTGGTCGGGGCCCAAAACGGACAATATCGTGCTACGGTAGAGTCGAGCCTGGGATGTGGTGGGGGCTTGGACCGGGATGTGACATTAGCAATGTGTGGTTAATTTTGTGTGTCAAAATAATATTATTTTTTTAGTAAATGGTTGAATGTGTGTATATATATTGTTGATCAATTTTGGTTTGTGTGTTTGATGTTTATCTACATGCTTGCAGACTCACTCTCATTTAGTTACACTGGTCAAACTGGCCCTGAGAAATGGGGAAGCTTGAGTCCAAATAACACAGCATGCTCAAATGGGAAGATGCAGTCTCCGGTGGACATCGTCAAGAGCATACTTACCCCTAACAAGAAACTAATGCCGTTGACCAGAGTCTACCGTACTTCAAATGCCACATTGTTTAACAACGGCTTTAACCTTGGGGTAATTTGTTCCTCTATCACTCTTCTTAAGATGCTTGCATTCCAAGAAAAAAAAAATCACTAATAGTAGTTGCTTAAAATATCGATTTAGGTTGAGATATTGGTATGCAAATTTATGGGAATATCGATGGATATATCAATATCAACATCGTTTGCCTTCGACATTATGAAAATTAGTAACGGAATGGGTATATATCAACTCATTCAGATTTGGTCGAAATTAGAAAAATTTCTCAAAATATTTCATAAGTTTGAAATTAATAATTAATAGGTGGATAAAAGACCTTTCAGTATTCCTATTGTCGGATTATCTTGTAGGGTTGTTTTTTTATACTTCTATCATATTATTTTGGTAAGAATATGTTATAATGTTTTTTCCTGTTTTCATTATTTTGGTAAGTGATCATCCAATACGAAAAAGTTATTGAGAAACTTCCAATTGTTTGAGCTTAAAATATTGGAAGTGGTTACATTTTTTATTTCTTCTTTCAATTCCTTGCTCAATAATGGGTTATGTAATTGGACCCAGATTACAACTAATCTAGAATGAGAAGAAACAGGTTTGTACCTCAAGTTATTAAGATTCCCATTACTCGAGATCATTCGTTCAATTCCACGCTACCTCATTAACTTATATGTGCATGGATTTTGTTTATGAAGTTGCGTTTCGAAGGAAATGGGGGAACATTGGATGTGGATGGTAAGAACTACAACTTGATGCAGTTGCACTGGCACACTCCCTCTGAGCATCGCCTTAATGGAATCCAGTATGTGCATTTCTCCTTCTCTCTTTTATCTAATAAATCGAGTAGAGCAAAAAAATGAAAAGGTTTCGTTAGAGGTCGTTGTAACTTGTTTTCTCAACAAAACAGCATTATTATGTCTAAAGTATTTAGCTTGAAGTGTTTCTATCTAAAGTGTACAGTTGTTACGATATAGAGCCGAAACCGTTTTTACAAAATTAGACGAAATATTAGACGGGCTGGGAAAATTCTACTTGTTAGGTTTTGGACCTTATAATTAGCAAAACTGCAACGGCTTAGAGGTATATAACAATGCCAATAACTGCTACAGATTTCCAGCGGAGCTTCATCTGCTTCACCAGGCAGCTGATCAAAGCCGCGCAGTTGTGGCAATCCTCTTCAATTTCGGCAAGGAAGATATCATCCTCTTACAGGTACGTTAGAGTTTCCCTAAACCCTTGTTTGGTTGAGAAATGGAATCAATGTTTAAGTGGTGGAGATTAACATTGGCCATGAGTCTAGGACTCAAGACTCACGTCCAAGGCCCTCGGCCTTGGACATGAGCTCGTAGCTCACTGTTGAAATTCATGACTAGAAGTTAGCGACTTGAGGTTTTTGTCCAGTTTGAGATTAGGTTAGCTGCACAAATGTTAAGAGTCTACAAATGGCTCAGGTAAAACACCTATTAGTGACTAATGGGAATTTGCATGGGCAGCTCCTTAGAGGGCATTACCTTCTCACGTAGGTTTTTTTCATGATTTGGATATTTTCTATTACTACAAGTCTAAGGCTTACAGTTCATCATACAGATTAAGAACAGGCTGGCCGAGCTGGCCAAGGAGGCGTGCAAGAAAGATGAAGATGCTACCATTCCCGTTGGAACTGTTGACCTGAACGAGTTACAGAAGAAGAGTCGCAAATATTACAAATACGTTGGCTCTCTCACCGTTCCTCCATGCACCGAAAATGTTGTCTGGAGCATTCTCGGAAAGGTACTAATTACTCGTTTCATTAATTTTTCTACGTGCGCACACACATAAACATATAAATACACAACCCTAAAGTTTGACTTACATGAATATGCATGCAGGTGAGGACTATTTCCAAGCATCAGTTAGATGCACTAAAAGCACCATTGGATGCATCTTGCAAAAACAACTCAAGACCTCTTCAATCTCCAAATGGACGCAAGATTGAGCTCTACGATGAGCTTATGCACTAGTAAATGTGTCATCTTAGTCGACCTGTGACATTGATTTAGAATAAGCGGCGATGACTCATAGGCAGTGGTTTGGATTAAAGGAACATGCATGAGTCGTAGGTAGGGAAAATGAGTCCTCGGAGGTCTATTGTCGTTGTTTTTGGATTTGTACCCGTGTGAATAATTCATGACCCACTGATGTTGAAGCATCCGTGAATGAATTATAGTTACCAGTTAGGCGAAGCAATTTGCTAGAAAGAGAAGTTTGTGTACCTTTTTTCCCTTCTTTTTAAGTTGATAATAAATACATATACAACAGTTCCTTGCATTGAGGAATTCTTTATAGGACACACTCCAAATCATATTTCAATGGTTCAACTGTTCATATTTCAGGTCTTTTTTCAAATATTATCTCTTCCAAAAAAAAATCCAAATTTGAAACCATTTGACACTACTACAATATTAGCTTTAGGTGGTTGATGATGGTGGCGGATTTAGAAAAATATTGTCGGATAAATTATATCCGACACATTATTTCATTAGTGGCGGATATTAGAAAACTCATGTCGGTTATATCCAACATAAATTCCTGTCAGATACTTACTGGCGGATATTAGAAAAATTCTGTCGGTTATAGCCGACATAAATTCCTGGCGGATATTATAAAACTCCTATCTGTTATAAACGACACTATTTTTGAATTTAAAAAAATATATTTTTGACAGATGGTGGCGGTTTTTAAGTTAATGGTGGCAGTTATAACCGTCAGAAATTTATTATTTTATTATTTTAGTATTCTGGCGGTTATTATTTTAGTATTGTGTCTGTTATAACCGACATAAATTCACTTTACGCCACACGCTTTTCAATTTGTTGTTATTTCAGATTTCGTTTTCTTCCTCATCTTCATTTTACTCGTTTTCTCTTCGTCTTCAATCTTTCTCTTCTCTTCCCCTCAATTTGTAAGTTTTTCAATTCTTTTGCTTCTATACTTTTCATATTCTATTTCTTTCTTCAACAAGCATTTCGTGGTTGATTTTTATTTTCTGATTTGATTTTGCAGGGGCTTTATTTTAGTTGGCTGACTTTGTAAAGAATAGATCGACGATGAAATTCTTTAATAGTTCAGGTTTTATTACTGAACTTCTTGATGTTTAAATTGTTTGTTTAACACACAAGATTATTTATTTAGATTTTTTAACTTAATTAGTAAGATAAATTAGGAATATTTGTGTTCAATTAGTTTAAGTTGCTTGAATTGTTATGATATTTTAATTTAATTAGTAAGATAAATGAGGAATATTTCAATTAGTTTATTTTATTCACTTAAATTGTTATGAAGAAATTGAAATAAATATTATTTGTAAATAGTTATGTTAAATTGACAATATTTAATATACTATAAATTGGTCATATCTAGTAATATAGGTATATATTATGTTAATTAATTAAATATTTCACTCTAATTGCTATGAGGATATACAAAACTTGAAAATATAAATAATCAAGAGTGTAGATAAACATAGTTTTGTTAACCTTTTATTGTTTTTTTTTTTTAAATTTGTTTTACTATGATAGGTGTTGGAAATTAAATTGCAATTGTGATAGTTCGAGGTTGAAAGATAGGGATTGAAAATTTTCATAGTTATGCCTACATGATAGGGATTGAAAGATTGTAGGCATCTTTGTTTCAACGTAATATTTGCTCTCGTACAATGGTAAAACATGGAAAAGAGTTGGTTGACATTACCATGAAATTTGGAAGCGTATACAGATGGAATTAATTTGTTTTTGGATCAAGCAGTTGCGAATGGTACAGGCCCTGATAAGTTTAGATGTCCTTCCAAAAGATGTTTTAATCGATATACTTTTGTTAGAAAAACTATTGTCGAACATCTTGTGTTGTATGATATGGATAAAGATTACAAAAATGCTTCGTGGTGACATCATGGGGAACCTTTCATTGGAGAGCAAAATATGGGGATTGGAGAAGAAGGTGTTGGGTCATCTACTGAAACAGGAGATCGGTTGACTGATATTCATGATGTTCTTAATGATGTATTTGTCCAACCATTAACAGAAGAAGGTGTTGGGCCGTCTACTTAACCCCTTTCTGGGGAAGGGTGTCCGGAATAGGTCAAGACTTTTTTTAAATTGCTTGAAGAGGCAGATCAAGATTTGTGACCAGGTAGTAAGGAATTTAAAAAATTGGAGGCGGTTGTAAGATTATATCAGATCAAGTGTTTAGCAAGAATGCCGGACGAGATCTTTACCACGTTACTCGAGTTAATTAAAAGAATGTTGCCTGATGGAGATTGTTTGCCTGAATCTTGTTATAAGGCAAAAAAACTTATAAATGACTTGGGTTTGACGTATGTGAAGATTGATGTGTGCCCCAATAATTGCATGATCTATTGGAAATACATTGGGGAGTTGACCGCATGCTCAGTTTCTATCGGATTTTGCTTAATATCCGACAATAATATACATTTCTTGGCGTTTTTGATAGCGCCACTAATAAATGAATTTGTAGTAGTGTGACCATGGAAAACATTATTCGTCAATATCCTTCACTATGATGTCTCATAATGGTTTGAATTTGTGTAATTTTTTTGTAAAAATGACCTATGAATAATGTACTAAAATACAGATGCTTTGGATCGTTAAGAAAACTACCGAATTAGCACCATAAGATATTTTATTCAAGGGATCCATATATATATATATATATATATATATATATATATGAAGGAACCCAGCATATGATATGGGGTGGATTGTATAATTGGGTCAATTGACCATCTCTTTCAATTTGATTGCAGAACAAGACTATTGATGGAGTGCTACAACTTGCTTCATTCTTTTCCGGAATATACGCCTTAATTTCATTACCGAATTAAGGAACTACATATTACTATATCATCTGTATTTATCATTAACTTAACGTGCTTCCAAAAGAATAAATAATCAAAGGAACACAGTTGATGAGATAAACTGGCATATTTTATGGACAAGGATACTCTCCGCATATTTTTTGTGGGAATCCTAAGATTAATCAATCGTGTCCGTTTATTGTATATTATGCAATCAATTTTAGTTAGGTACTATTTATATTCAATTTTAAATTTTAAATAATTTCTAACCGTACGATATACGATGAACGGACACGATTGATTGATTTTCCAGATTCCCACAAAGAGAATCTAGAGAGGATCCTATTCCATATTTTATAACCCAAAAGGGAGAAGAAAAACAGAGCTAATATATTTTAATGTATAAAAATCAATCTCGTGTATTTTATAAAATTAAATTCTTTTGTTATTGGTATTCTGAAAAATATAAGTTTAATTTTACCGTAAACAGTTTGAAGATACCAACTAAAGTCTACCGATACTTCATCTTGAAATATATCCGAAGTCCGTATTTTTCACACTCGAATTTATTATATTAAATAAATAAAAAAACCTTAGAAAACAATCAGAATGCTAAAGCATTTTTCTTGTTCTAAAAAAATCCTGATTAAAAAACACAAGTAATTTTGTTTTCTAGGGTAAATGGAAGAAATCATAAAAAATGAAAAACATAAAAATGTGGGGATTAAAACCAGGGTCCAAATTAAAGCCAAGAAAGCATTAGAGAGAGCAGACATGCTAATTCGAAGTACTGGTCAAGGATTCAACGATGTTGAAAAACTGTGGGTAGCGGAGTTTTTAATTAGTTTTTGGATCAACTTTTTCCAAGAACACATAATTTAATATTAATATTTAATAGGAAAGTAATGCATTTTCCTATAGCTAGACGGAATTCAGATCCTTTCTAGGTTTCGCTGTTCGGAGTCAAAGAACGAGTAAATCGGGTTGCTCATAGGAGGAAGAGCGAGATCCGAATTCCTTGATTTGTATGAGGTGGATCAGTAAGATGGACTGATAGAGCTGCATGATTTAAATGAATGATTTGAATTATTCGGCTCGTCGGCTCTCGACTGCAAGATTCGAAAAAAATCTCAATTCAGCTAGATGGGCAATCGTCTCTCAAAGTCGAGAATGCCTAATTCTTTATAGATGACCACAACCCAAACACAGACTTGATGATGCACATGTCCAAGTCTTCTTTTTATTTTATTAATTTTAAAATCATCAAAACTGTAACTTTTAATGTTACATGATAAGATAAGTGATATGCCTATGAATCTAAAATTTCTGATCAATAAGATCTGATGTGTCGCAAGAAACTGCATGATTGTGACCCGAAATTGGTGCGGCAATCTAACTGTCAGATTTTCGTAAATTTTAAATTTAAGTCATGTAGCTGTTAATTAAGATTTTATGATCAAACATCTGGATTTCAAAAAACCAAGCTAGATCTCATAACATAAGGGCTACATATGTCACACAAATTTCACACACTGAGCTATTGTCGTGCTACAAAAGCAAAGGTTTTTTTATGCAACTTTAACCGTTTACCCATCTCTATAAGTGTTCGACACAATGCTCAAACGAAGCAAAAGTTTTCTTGAATTTCTTATGATGCTTCCCTTCATTTGATGATGATTAGATGACATTAGTACAATGTTTGATTAAATGGTACTTGTAGGTTCCACTTCCCTATTTTTTACCTTCTAAAGGGAATACCCTTCTCCCGCCATTAGACTGACCCCCAATCATCTACCTGTATTATTTTGAAAAGAAAGAGTACCAAAATCGAAAAAGTAGGTAAGACAACACAAGTTATAGTGTGGTAGGCCAAAACTCCTTTTCCGCCATCCACTAAAGTTCCTACCCTCCTCAATTCACATGTGGTCAATGCTTGGATTTTTCCAAGAATCCTAATCTGTTAAATTATCAATAAAAATATATATATAATCAATTAATTATCACAATAATTAGCCGTAGCAAAAGCGCCTAACTCACCGAAAGCAAGTTGATGTGTACGTAACCACATTGACATGAGTACAAAAAATGTGTGCATGTGCTCTTACTTATAAACCCGCGTTTAAATTACGTTCCTGCAGGTTAAATTAGTTCGAGTCATATCTGTTTTCTGATAATAGAAAATGCAATTTTTGTACCCGTAATTATCCAAAATAACAAGCAAATTTACAACCGTCAATCCAAAAGCATATCTATTTACACAACCTTATACACTAATGAATTGAAAAAAAAAAAAAAATACAAAAAACGAAGAAAAACGTTGTAGCCGAAATGACCGTTTTACCTCTAACCCGGGTATGGAGGGAAACCGTTATTCAACGTGCCACGTCATCCCAACCACGATTTAAACAGGATGAAGCGGGTCCCACTCAGACAACCAATCACGCCCGCAACCCACCTGCTGCTTCCTCGTGACTGTATCCCTCTCAGTTTTCCGAGACGCCCACCAACTACGCAACGTCGATACCGCCATCGCCCACCCACGACCCGGACCTCCGACCCGAAACGAACCGCTTCATGCCACCCAAACCGGGCGGTTCGCTCTCCACGCTGTGTCTTGGAAGCGAGTCGACATCGTCCGCTGCCGCTCTGTCGCGCGCTCTCGTCGACTTCACGCTGCTGTTTCTCGGAGGCAAGTCGTCCACGAACGGCGTTTTCGCCGATTTGTCCCGGTGTCCGCCGTGACGAAAAATCGCCCGAAAACTCGCGAAGAAACCGAGTTTTCGTCTCTCGGAAACCGGTTTAACGGACTTTTCTATGGACGTCTCGGCCGACTGTCTGTGCCGATTCCTGACCCGACGCTTCTTCCGATCCCTCTTCGATCTCACCCTCCCCATACACGAGACCTTCGGAGACGACGGCTCGATCATCGGAGCGTCCGATTTTCCGACGGATCCGGACCGTTTCGGAAACAGCCTCGTGTTTCCGGCCTTGCAGTGCCGCCGATTCTTCGTGTCGGTGTAGTTGTGCTTCTGCGGCTTGGGAAGCCCGATGATCGCCGCCTTCGACTTCAAGTTCATCGAAAACCGCTGCGAGTTTGAATTCGAGTGCGAATTTTGATTCGAATTCAAGTTATTAGCGTTGGAGTTTCCTTTGGTGGAGTCTTTGCGCTCGTAGAAGGCGTTGCGGTCGAACCAGTCGTACTCTGCGTCTTTCGAGAGCCAGAAGGATTCCGGCGGGAAATCCGGCGGAACCTCCTGTTCCTCGACGTCATCCTCCGGCCGGCCGTGTCCGGCGGTGGTGGCGTCGGCCTGCGTCTCGCAGGCGATTTTCCGATCCATTGAGCCACCAGCGCACGCCGAAACTAGTGTTTCCAAATCAACTTGTGGCATATCGCAGAAAAAGAAACCTGTGAAAATTTAGAGAGAGAAAGAATAGAGAGAGAGAGAGAGAGAGAGAAGGCTGTGGAGGAAGGTGTGAGGAGGAAGAAGCATTTATAAAGGTATGTTGTTTACGAACTCCAAAGTCTTCCAAGTCTCAGATGAGAAATAAGAATTTCCTTTTTCGTATTTTTATTTATTTACTTATTTATAATAATTATTTTTCTTTTAATTTATTTATTTTTGTTTGACTCGTGTTTCATGGTGAGAAATGTTTAATTGTCATGGGAACACAGATAGTACATTACTTGTTTCAATAAAAGTGGTGATAAATTTTATTTTTTAAGTTATTAATTTTTTAGTATACATATCTCATTATTTATATAGTTACACGTGATATACTACTTTATGTATGGATCATACTGAAAAATCTCTCTTCCACGGTTTCGTTTTGGAAACCGAGTTTTCGAAAAGGTTAAAAAAGTATAACTTTATCGTCAAAAGAATACGAACGCGGATGATACAAAACGCTGATTTGCTTTACGCATTCGCTGATTGCTTGCTGCCTTTCTTTCGTTGGTTCCTTTTCTTTTCGTTAGTTCTTTATGGCTCGGCTTTTAAAACGGCTTGGCTTGCAATTTCACTAGAAAACCTTAAGAAATTTCCATAAAAATCATATTCGTCAAAAGCTATATGTAAATCGAAAATAACTAAAAGCGTTTTAGATCACCAAAGTACAAAGCGATTATTGTGTGTTTTTTCGAGAGGTGCTTTGGCGAAAAAAGTTCAATATAGTTTTTGGTACAAGAAAAATGCTTCAAGTGTTTTTAAGAATAAAGACATATTATGTGTTTCGTTTAAAATATACTTTTTCAAGAAGCGGTTGCATTCTTTATCACATCTCTGCCCGGGCCCCCACCGCATCTCGGGCTCGACTCTGCCGTAGCACAATATTGTCCGCCTTGTGCCCCGACTACGCCCTCACAGTTTTGTTTCTGGGAACTCACGCGAGAACTTCCTAGTGGGTCACCCATCATGGGATTGCTCTCGCGCGAACTCGCTTAACTTCGGAGTTCCGATCAAACTTGAAGAGCTCCCAAAAGCCTTCGTGCTAGGTAGAGATGATAATATACATATAAGGCTTACATGATCCTTACCCCTGGACGATGTGGGATGTTACAATCCACTCCCCTTAGGGGCCCGAAGTCCTGATCAACACACTTCCGGCCAGGGATTGACTCTGATACCAAATTATCTCAATTTTTCACTTCTCTTCTAAATTTTTTAAATCATTAAGATCTTTGGTTTGTCCATGAGGAAGAAATGATTTATCTATACGTGTACTTGTTTTTCCATGAGAAAGAAAAAAAAATTAGAACAACTCACCCCACTTTAGAATTCTGATTCCGTTCTTGCTGAAGAAGCATTAACGTGTTTTTCTATAGGATGCTCGTTTTCCCGTCGAATATCATAAGAAGTGCTTTTAGTTTGTTAGAAAGTGATTCTAACTTTTCCGTAATCTGTTTCATACAATCCTATTTCGGTTTTCTTCATTGGAACAAAAATAATGGATATTATTCCAATTAATGTGAAAAATACCACATTTGGTCGATGAAAATTAAAATCATTTGTCAAACCATCCGTAACTATTTTTTCAAATAGAATAATTTGTTTTGGAATTTAGTGAATACAAATTGGAATTCTCGTGTTTTACTTTTGACTCTAATTCGGATAAGTACACGTTGTCTGCCTCGTCATTCCACTCAAGCATTAGCCACTGTTTTATTGTCGGTATTTATCAATATGTGTCCTTTTATGTAAGCTCATAAGATATCTATTTGTTGTATATAGTTTTATTTTCTCTTTTCACTTTGATCTTCATTTTTATATGTATTAAGAAACGTGTCAACAAATGTGTCTGTTTGCATGTTTAAACAACATTACTCGTTTTTATGTTATGTTAGTTTCTCACAATCCATTAATGAAATGAAAAATGAGAAAAGAAGTGCCATCACATTCTTACTCTTAATTTTTTTTTTTTTTTTGTTAAACAAAGGGGCTAATAGCCCGACAAAGGAACCGCAAAATAATATCGCGTAATCGAGAGATTCGAGAAATATTAGACAATAATAATTACTTACAAGAAGATGGAGCTTGCTCAAAAAAGACTGGACCCAAAGGATGGAGGGGTTTAGGTTGGCCAACCTGTCACCAACAAAATTCATCTCACGATAGATATGTTGAATCTTACATTCCTAGTCACAATATAACATTGCACGACAATGAATCAATTCACCAAGAGAATGATGTCAGTGGCACCATGTAATATCAGTTGGACAACAATGGCGGAATCAGCAACCTCTTTATTCTAAGTAATTTGTAATCCCAAAAAGATCTACCAAATTACAGCATTGAGAATCTCTTCAGGCTCAAGATTAACACAAAACCCAACATGCCAAGCTCCAAATGAGTTCCTAAGAATCCCACACGCTCCAATAAATTTAAGAGAGCCTTTTCTCCAACCTTCCACCTTGAGTTTAAACCACCTTTCTGGAGGTTGTTCCCAATGAAAAAAAGAAGCAAAGGGTTCTAGGTGTCTTATGAGAGGTAATAATATTAGCTTGCAACCATGCGAAAGTAATAATTTTGGGATCACTTGGGAAGACAAAATCACGCTAAAAAGTGCTTTTATTGTGCTAGTACCAGATGAGCCAGCAGGTGACACAAAACACAAGACGCCATTCAAATTGATCAAGGAAGAGAACCTTTCGAACAAAATTTATCATGCACCCATTCAAAGATATCCTCAAGGGTAAAAAAAAATAAATTGGAAATTTGACACTTTGCTATACCTGAATAGCAATAAGGCAATCTCTGTCTACTTGCGCAATAGACTTACAGACTCCCACACATTAATTTGTAGCACGAAGGATGAACAACTAACCCCCTCTTAAAGCATTGATTTTTAGTGAGGAGTTTATCAAGTAAAAGAAGCCACAAGAAATATTTCACTTTAGGAGGTAAAATGCCATTGCCAAACAGACTTCCACCTCCTATCTGGGCATTCAGACACTTGTAAAGTAAGATTATAAGCAGATTTAACAGTGAAATTTTCATCACTAGTCTTATTCCAAATACCTTTGTCTTGATTAAATGAAGTGTTGACAATGTGATCCACAATTTATTTTAGAATAAAAGGAACAATAATTAGTTCAAAATACAGTGTTCTCACCAAAGCCAATGCGCCCACAAGCAAGACTCGTTTTCAATAACGTAGCTCCTTTAGTAAAGCCTCTTCAACTATTAGGAGCTCCATCCCAATTAGCACGTTTAAATAAATAATTATTCCATCCAGCAAGATATACTTATTTTCAAAAACATAAGTCTGAAGTGCATTTTTTTGCTAGTGAAACTGTTTGGGTCCGAAATAACGCTTTGGGCCGAGCCTAGAGTTATTCTCGGTCCAGAAAGGGATACTGGGAATATTCTGTCATGGGCTGAGCCCACTAAGCCGACTGGAGTTTGGCCGAATCCTATCAGGAGATGGTTTTATCTGGATAGGGGTTAGGTGATCAAATCCCAGTACAATGAGGATTCTCGAAAATTAAGGATGCTTTGAGTCAAAAAAGATGCCGTGAATCAAGGGATGAATCTGAGTGATTAAAGAGCTTGGTTTAAAGTCCTATAGGGGTTATGATTGGTCGATACCTGATAAGATTGGGTTAAGGAATTCTAGTCCGAGTTAAATTTTACTTTGCCATGGAGGAAGTCATTACTATAAATAGAGAGGGGAGTGCATCATTCAAAGCCCCTCCAATTCAACACACAACTGCCCAGTGCAAACCTTTCAAACACTTTGAGATTTTTATTTTCTTTGTTCCCGCCAACACATCTTCAGTTTGGAGAAACAGCAATGTGGAGGCAACCGGCAACATCTTCAGTTTGGATAAACACACTGGAGCTTTAGAATCAACCGACTAAGGAGTACCTTCAGTTTGGTTAAATAGCACTGCTTCGAGACCGACTAGTTATTTATCCAAGTCTTGGCCAATAAGGGTTTCTGAGTCCTTGTTGGAAGATTTCTTCTCATTAGCCTTCTCGACGAAGTAAGGTATTGCTAAGTTACTACATTCGGCACATTAAGAGCCGAATTTAATATTGAACTTCGCAGAACTAGCAGCCTTGCATTCGGCACATTAAGAGCCGAATTTAATATTGAACTTCGCAGAACTAGCAGCCTTGTCTTTTGGCTCTAGAACCCAAAAGCCGATACGTGTTCCTTCCTCAGCCGCAGTCGTGAGATGAAGAAGTCAACAGCGTACCCAACGCCGCATCAATATATTTTACTCTCTGGCCGAGCTCGGCCGACGAGTTGGCATGCCCCACATTCGACCAGCATGCGCGCCACGTAGGCTAGATAGTTTTTAGGGTCAACAAGAACATAATTCATAGTCTTCATATTTTCAAACTTGAACCGCCTACAATTTTAAGTACATACACCTAACTCCATTTGACCAAAGAAATTTTTGATTTGGAAGATTGAGAAGAACCACATTGTTCGTGGAACTAGTGGGAAAATTGAGAAGACCCACATTTTCGTTTTTGTAAACGAAGTAAAGATTAAGACTGATCGAGTATGAATTGTTGCATCAGTTTTAACCTATTACCAACATTTACCTCAAAATTTTGGGTGGCCGAGAAAAATCATATATAAGTTGGGAAGAGAAATTTCTCAAATAAAAGTTCAATTAAAATAAAAAATTAAAAAAAAAAGATTCCTGAATGTCTGAACCTAATTGATGACGATGGAAAGGGATCCTTTTCGGGTCCCTTCCACTTAGTCCTCCTCACCAAATAACTCGGACTCTTGAAATTTGATCCAACGGCTAAAGTTATTATAACTTTAAAAGTGGGCCCCTGTTTTTAGCCATTGGATGAAATTTCAAGGACCCAAATTGTTTGATGAAGAAGATTAGGTGGAAGGGATCAGGAGAGGGTCCTTTTTCGATGACGAAATCTAATAACAAATAAGTTCAAATCAGATTAAAAAGATTAATCTGTTCCATGACAACTTGCTGCGTTAATTCTTTATTTAACGAATCC